TGAATTTATGTGATCTATGTACGTTGTAGTTTTATATGAAAAACGGCAATTTTTGGGGTCAGTTGTCCTTTAATAATTATACGATATTACACAATATATAACAAGTCTAAACGACAAAAAAACGAGCATCCATATCCCTCGTCAGTCGATGATCTTTTCCCATCTCACTCGGTAGATTATAATAACTCAACATAGACATAATCTGCAAAATACAAAAAGAGCAACAAACGGTTTTTTATTTCATTGGTTTAGGATYAGTGTTTGTCTTCACTAGGTTTAGGTTTAACGTCATATAATTCAGTAGAAGTTAATTTGGTTAGGTTTAAGAGTTTAGTTTTTTAGTTTAAAGTTCAGTAGTTTGTTTTAAAAATTTAATTTGATTTTATATGGTTGAGTTTAGTTTTGAGTTTAGATTTTAAACTTTTAGTCAGTTTAATATTTGGTTTTATAAGTTTAAAGTTTTAATTCAGTTTAGAAGTTAATTTGGTTAGGTTTAGATATTAGTTTTTTTAGTTTAAAGTTCAGTAGTTTGGTTTGAAAATTTATTTTATTTTATATGGTTGAGTTTAGTTTTGAGTTTAGATTTTAAACTTTTAGTTTAGTTTTTGGTTTTATAGGTTTAAAGTTTTGTTTGTTTAGAAGTTGTTTAAAGTTTAATAGTAAGTTGTTTAATAGGGTTTAAAGTTTAAGTTAATTGTTTATAAGGCTTAAAGTTTAAGTTGTTTAAATAATGTTAAAAATTTTGTGTAGTTTCAGAGTTGTAGTTTAAAACGTTTAGAGTTTCAGTGTTTTTTTAGTTTGCTGGAAATAGTTCGTTTTAATTTTGGTTGCATTAAAAATCTGTAAAACAAAACAAAACAAAACGTTCTGTAGCCAGGAACCAAAAGTTTCAGCTGAAGTCTTTTTAGTAGGCAGGGTATCTGGTGACTTTGGTGATCAGCGACCTGTATAAAYTGCACACAAATTAAACAAAAAGAAAGAAAGCAAAATTAGTTGATTGTTGATAAACAAACACTACAAAAGTCGAAATTGCAATAGAAAAAAATACTCTTAGCACTAGAGGGAGAACAACCACACGCTATCTTGAAAGCAGCCTCTGATAACTCGTCTTATATGGCAGCTGGAAATTCTTGGTCTGCATGGGCTAGAAAATTCTGAAAAACAGATGACATTTAAAACTTGACATGAAGSGGTTATATAGAATTTGGAATTCAAGGCGAACTCAACTTTCTAATTATTTTACTTCGTTGTTATGGTTACCGCTGGAGTGCTCTCTCGTCTTTTGGCAGCTGGAACTCTTGGTTCGTAAAAACTGTTGGACCTCTAAGCTRTCAAAACGGGATGATTATCTCTACYTTCTAAAATCAATAGTAGAAAGAAAGAAAGAAAAGAAATATAAAATTAGTACTTGATTGATCTCGCAGAAAATCTCATTAGAGTTCAATTTTGAAAACAATCTGACAACAAGTTTCAGTCCAGATTGGATCATGATTATCGTTAATCGTTTTGCAAATCATTGGTTCAAATTATACAACTGAAAATTTCTGCAAAGAGTCGATAGAATAAACTTTATTCTGAAAAAGACTGCCATAGCTGCGCAGTCGAAACGTCATGTTTTATGAAACAATCTACTACGCGTGAAATCCGCCTAAAGTCTCTCATCAAAGTAGTCGGCAAGAGTATAGAGTATTATTCTGAAACGAGTTAAGAGAAATTTAGTAAATACCTGAAACAGAATGGAGTCAAAAGTTAGTAAACTTAAAAGTCATAATAGAAGAAGAAATGGCTCCCAAAAAYGTAGACCGAAAAAGCAAGACAAAAAAGAAGCCGGCTAATTTTATTGAAGGCGGTCAATGTTCTTACAATAGAAGTCCGTCACTAAACTATACAACGATCTAACTAACAAAAAATTGCTACAACTTTATTGACAACGTTGGTTTACAAATTGAAAGGCTATTTTTTATTTTATGGTAAGAGATTTTTACATTCACTTTTGCGCCAAAAAATTAATCTTATGCGCATGCGTAACTAAAAACGCGCACGGAATTTGTTATCTGCAGCGAGAAAAGATAAAGGTTAGTATGGATAACCTGAAAGAGAAAAGTTAGTAAACGAGAAAAAAACAGAGTTAATAATGCTGAAACAAAATTGAACAGTTAGTATACGTTTTCGAAAATAAGACTGAATTACAATTAGAAAAAACCCGTAAAGTAAGTGAGAGTGAGCGATCGAAAAATGGCCSAAATTGAATCAAGAAAAGGGGGGTGGATATTCCACGAGAACTCAACAGAAGTAAGCGAGCTGTGTCAGCAGCTCATTAGAGATAGGGTCACAAACCCTACCGTAAAGTACTTRCAACCACCGGCTCGGGAATATCCAAGAACCAAAAAACCCACAACCATGTACACCCAAATCGTACAACCAGATAAACTATCTATTATAATTATTGAAGAAACCATAAGTTTATTAGCATACATACTTATTTTTTACAGTCATCAAAAAATACATTGTCGAAAGTAGGAATTATGTACAACTAGAGAAAAATAACCTTTAAAGTAGGATCGAGTGATCGAAAAATAGCCGAAATGAATCGAGAAAAGGGGTGGATATTCCACGAGATCTCAGCAGAAGTAAGCGAGCTGTGTCAGCAGCTCATTAAAGATAGGGTCACAAACCCTACCGTAAAGTACTTACAACCACCGGCTCTGRAATATCCAAGAACCAAAAACCCAAAACGTAACCACACAAAACGTAAGATAAAACTAATTATAATGATTAAGAAACCATAAGTTTATTAATTTACATATACTTATTTTTTACAGTAATGAAAAATAACCGGCTATACAATCAGTGTTCAGTTCTAATCTAACAATGAATATTTACGTATGAAATGAATTGATTATTTAATCAATGACATGTAATAATGATGTTCYCAGGGCAGGAAAATCTTAACTATTTTGTAGATATTTATGAACTATGAAATCGAAACTTAGTTGTAGTCAAATTCAGTTGGAAAAAAAAAACAAATCCCACACTCACTCMCACTAGAATACCAAACACACACAACTTGACATATAAATCTTAAACAATCCTTAGTACTAAAGGGATATAGAAAAAARCCAAGTTAACTTATGTACTATTCTACTATCCTAAAAACCTGTAGTCGGAAACCTATTGAAATGCGTCGAAATCCGGGCCGAAAAAAAGAAGCCTATGAAAACCTATGAATAATCTATGTTTSGCGATTGTTATTCAAGAACAACAATCTTTTGAGCCCCGTATTTTGCAAACAAAACAACGGGAGAGAATTGAACACATTTACTGTGAACAATTACTAATATTYGTATCAACATTTAATAYTGATTCAAACATTACGAGACAACAATAATCAACATTATAATCAACATAAACAGCAATAATGATACTAGATAAAATATTCTAGAAAATTCTAGGCTAAGAAGCTACCACTGATTCTATCGCGGGCTCGCAACCAAGTCTGGTTGTTCTTGGTAGACTGCTGAAAGGCAAGTTGAATGCCACGACGTACCACAAAAAATAAATTCACATCAAAATGACTATTAACATAAGTAAAAAGATTCTGTCGTGGCATTCKGTGAACGAGGTTAGTCCTTAAAGTTCTGGAGGATTGTTATTTYAATGACACGCGTGTAGCCAAGGTTTGTTGCTCCGAAAAGAAAAAAATGAAGGATAATTGAAAGAAAAAAAAGAAAGAAAGAATAAATGAATGAATGAAAGGAAAGAAGGAATAATGAGTGAAAGAGTGAAAATAGAAATGCAAAAAGATAACCCAAATCAAAGCCAATTTTTTAAAAATTTCAACCATCTAGTAAACAAGTTGCCAATCTTAAATTTAGGTACCGAAAAAAATTTACTTTTTGTTTCCCATAATCCAWGACCAGTKTCAAGCTCCCTCTTGCCTGCTCCGCTRCCCTTTTCCGTTCGTGACTCCAGAGCCGRCAAAAGGGAACCCAAARACAAGATCTTGGTCAAACCTKGACTGTGCCAAAGTTATTGWTGTTGCAGGTAACCAAGCAACCAGTCACTTTCCCCCTCGCTATCRTGGAGAGAAAAAGTGACCGTTCACYYGTGTCACATAATACATGGCCGGYGCTAACCTTAGAACCGAAAGACCGAACTAAACCCTAGGCGCAGTTTAAGATGGTGTGTGAGATGAAAAAACCGACCAGCACTGCATAAAAACAAATAACAAATCCTCCATTCTAAATCAAACAAGACGTATTGAATAGATTTGTTGATCCAGGTCGTCTCCAAGTCGTCTCCAGTGATGTCCAGCGTTGCCTAATTGAAAAAAAACTAACCTAGAATTGGCCAATTGACCCTGGCAAATGCCAGTCAAAAACACTAAACCCCACCTACATTTACACGTGGTAGCTTCTCCTATACATGTCTTAGGGCTTCGTATACTCGAAGCCCCGCTAATCCTAACCTATTCCTAGGCCTAAGTAATCTTGACTTGCAATAATCAGATATACAGCCAAAATTGATGGACATAATGATTTAGAAATGATTACTGCTAGTCAATGAACTATTTTTAGTGTTCCATATTCAATTAAGGAACGAAAAAGCAATAATTTACAACTGAGCACTGATACCCCGAGCAAGTAAAGAGCAAAACGTGAATTCAAGTGAAATTGGTTTTGGAAAAAAATTTAAAACTTGCTCAAGAATCATATGTGCAAGGCGAATTACTCTTTTTTTTTTTTTTGGTCGGCCATCGTGAAGCTTGCTTTGGCTTGCTTGAGGCCATATATTAAATACACCTGAAAAGGAAGATAAAGTGCGTTAATACGTGGCTATGAAATTGCGGGGAAAAGTTTTACACTAACGGTAATAATTTTGAAATATCATTAGTTCTCAGATATGTTAACGTTCTGTATTTTTCTTTYAGACAAAATAAGTACTATACAAACGGCAAATAATGTCAATGATTTTTAATGCCAAGTCAGGCTACGAGTCTTCATAATTGCAGTTTGGTTTAAATTTTTTTAAAGACTTCATTTGAATAGCTTTTAAAACCAAATTTCTTGGCCTTGACAAGAACGAAGTTTTAAATATTTAAAGCAAACTCTACGTGCMGGAAAAACGGCTTTCGACACATCTACATCGAATGAGATATAGTGAAGATGGCGATTTTGTTTATGAAAACATAGCACTGCAATTCCATTGAATTTTTTAAATATTTATAGTAGAATTATTACAAATTTCTGGTAGAATTTCACTTTTGAAGCTTATTATTCACAGAAAAGGTCATACTTGTTTTAAAAAAGTAAGGATTTTACGCTCAACTTACCATTTACTCATTCACCAACTTCATCAATGAGTTCACTCTGTGAATGAATCTGAACCGCTGGCAAAGTTTATAAAAGCCCTGATCACCACGTGATATTTTTATGTCAATCACACCATATCGTCCAATCAAATGCTGTTATCAAGGAATGCACGTGGAATACTGTACTATGATTGGTTTAAATGCGACACGCTTGCAAATMTCGTGCATTACCTTATTTGGTATTTTTTTTTGTCAAATAAGTTTTGCCATGACTTGATGCATAAAAATGGTRTTAAAAATGCGAGAAAGTGATGAGTATGCGTGGATTGTTGCACTAAAAAAACAAAAAATGATATCATGGTCGCATGAAAATTATGATTTCTTTACTTGAACCAAGGATAACAAGCTACCACATCGAAATGCAACACTAGCTTCTTTCGTGCGCATTTTCTTATAAAATACTCGGGTTTTGATTAAACGCCAAATACCTGGACAGAGAAAAAAGAAGAAAGGAAAAAAAAAAAAAAAAAAAAAAGAGAAAGAACAAACAAAGCAAGCAAGAAAACAGTAAAGGCACAATTACAAAGAGGAATTTTCTCTGCAACTTATCTCGCAACGGCGTTGCGACACAAGTTGCAAGAGTGTACACGATGCAACGGAGACTCAATCGTTGCCAAAAGTAGAAGCGAATATTACTTTTCGCAACGATTGGTGCAACTTGTCTCGGCTGTAGGTTACATGCTGCTCCATGCAGCTTGTGTCGCAACGCCGTTGCGATACAATTTGCAGAGAAAATCGTTTCGTGTAATCGCGCCTCAAGACAAAGAAAAAACGATGGAAGGAATGAAAAAACGAAGGCAAGAAAAAGAAAGGAAAAGTATAAGAGTGTAAAGGAAGAAAAGAAATACACAAAATACAAGAAAACACAGCCATTTATTTAMAGCCTGATTAATATATACAATCTTTTCGTTTCGTTGGTTCTCACTAACGAGTACTTGTTTCTTTTCTAAATGTAAATTTTCATTCAACCTTCTGGTGGGTATCAATTAAAGTCTGCTCCTGTCAATATTCAACAAATGAAGCAAAAACACACACCACTTTATATCAAACACAGATATTCTGAAGGACTTCCATAGGAACAAATAAGATAAACTCCGAGTTGTACAATTGAAATAAAAAAATGGAAAATTATTTCAACTGATGTAAAATTGATATTTATTTATTTATTTATTTATTTTGTTTTTGTTTGCAGTACTGCTTTTCCTTTTGCCTTTACAATTTTCATGTACTTGATTTTTAAAAACAGCTCCTTATAAATTAGTATATTTTATTATCCCATGCGGGATAGAGTCTAGTTTAGGCAGACTGACTGTGTGGCTGGGGATGTATTGGTGGTATTGGGTCTGATAGGTACAGYGGTCTTACTATGGGAGAGGACCTGGCGATTTGTTCGGATAGACCACGTGCTGATGACGTAGTATCGAGGGGTTTCAGWTGGGCCGGGGACGTGCGTCTGTCGATCTTTCGTGGTGCCTGCAGACACAATAATACGCGTTACAGTTAGTTGAAAGGACAGACAGACACTTTTAGGGTGGTTAGATGCGCACTTGTTGYCTTTGTGGGATACCCGAGGTAAAACAACTTGCATACATCCACTCTATATTTTTAGAGCCGTCTTAGTATGAAAACATACGGCACTGACTTACAGCACGTCCACGGTACAMCATTCCATAGCATTGAAATGAGTTTCCTTGTCAAACTACGAYGCGTGGTTACGGTAAAACACGGTATTGCTACGATGAATTTGTCGTATCTGTCCCACCGACTCATACAAAATACTGCTTAATRAATGGCAGRGCAGATTTCGGTWMKGTCACGGTATGAAAATTGAACCAATCAGCGCGCGCAAAAGAAATGCGCATCCAATCACAGTACTGGATCACAGCACCGTCAGGTGTTAGAGCATGGGTCATCCTTGCCGTGAGTTTTGGCAATTATATAGTCAACAACTGTTTGCATAGTAGTTCTTACCTGAACTGGACCTCTCCTTGTGACATCTCCTTCCCGCACGATTACACCAGCATTCACATCCATGGAATCAACCTGAAGCAAAATCAAAGTAAATAAATTAAACAAATCTTTTTTATTTATACACGGTAGGCTTTAAAGCTAGAAGCTCGTGGGGCCCGGTATCCTCCATACAGACTTCTTACTATTCGAATATTCTATACACACAACGCTCAATTATATATACACAACGTTCACATGTGGCGATCGCAGGGCTCGAACCAGTGAACCGACCCGTTGGACTCACAGCGGYGAAAGACGACGCATTAGCAGACCAATGTCAAATATAATAATCTGACAAAACTTGGTATGACCCTGAAACTAYTTCCTTGTCATTTACTCACTAAATGACAAGAATCTCATTAAGGGACAGTCATGGGAATAGTGAAATTTGATTGGCTAATATTATAGCMAGCTGTAGATCTTTTTTAGCGTCAGTCTGTGAATAACATAAGGGACCTCAGCTGATATGTATAGTACTTACCAGAGGTGGGGGTAGTGGTGTTATTGCTGCACTCTGGGTGTATATTATCCCTTCATTAGAACCGACAGTGATCGCAGCCTCAAGACCTCCTCCAGTGCCTTTAMCAGTCTTCATACCCTTCGTCGTGTCTTTCTTGCTTGCCGTGTATTTTACCGTCTTCCTCTTGCTRCGCAACTGTAGGGCTTCAGTCTCTTGGTCAACCACTGTGAATTTTGTGCGCACCCTAAAAAAGACCGAGCGAGTTTTAATTTCTTGCTGCCAGTTTGATTACCATAACAACCGAAGAAACTTATGGTACAAATATTACCGTGCCGTGATAGTGTCATGTCTGAGCAATCTGATTGGACAACAGTAACCACGCGTGCTATGAGTGGTTAAACGGATGTTGTCAATAGACCTCATCGGCTCTGACGTAATGTTTTCCCATTTCAGACCACGTGTCATTCCCTAGAGTATCATTTCTTTGTTTAACGGTTGACACATGAGAAGACACATGAATAACGGTTACAACTCAAACAAAGAATGTTATTCTCAAGACCACGTGTCATTCCCTAGAGTATCATTTCTTTGTTTAACGGTTGACACACGAGAAGACACATGAATAACACGTGAATGACACGTGGTCTGAAATGGGACAACATTACGCTCCAGCACTCCAGAACCAAAGAGGTCTATTCCATCACATTCACATTTTTATAAACATTTATTCTATAGTTAGGATAGTACGCGCGCTCTGATCTCAACAATTAAAATGCTTCTACAATCCAGAAAATTTCTAAAAACAGAGCATTTTATAGTCCGTTTTCCCTCCGTTGATCAAGGCTTACAACCACCCTAAAGATAAAAGAAAACATGTATTTTGTTAGAGGCATTTAAATACCTACCTGTGGGATGGTAGTTTTTCTGGGTTGATCCTAATGACGGCTCTAACATTACCTCTCTCGTCATACACTACGTCTTTATTGCCAGGTGGACGTCCATATTGGGTCTGTAAGTAAATATATCTTACGTTTTAGTGCTCAATCCCATTGAGACCTCCTCACATTAATAACAAGAGAAATATCCATTACATGTGTAACCACAGCTAGTATACCAATGGAATGTTGCCGGGTGCTGAATGAGAAAACAATTGATCTTTTATGCATTATGCAAGGGTTATACACAGCCAGGTAATGTACAAAAAAAATACAAACTGGATGTGAAAATGTTACACCATTTATCATGAATTTAGGACTACAATTTTAAAATTTAGAATTTAAAAAAAATTGTGAGCTTGGCTGAAAAAATCCACTTTAAAGTTTAGGGCAAACAAGTACGATTCTGTCCCATTTTAAAAACGTCGTGAAAGTTTGATTTTTTTTGACATTCCTAGTTTTTATGAAGGTTTTTAGACTTTACTACGATTTACTAAACATCATTTAAGGGACCATCGTTCATTATTTACCAGGGAGGGAGGTGAGTGGGATTTGCATGGTAACAYATGTACAAGAAATTTGCCTCCCTCTCGATGGTTGCATAAAAAAATTGCTCCACCCTTGTTTGTCATTCTGTTCATTGCAAAAGTCGGATATTTTTGTCTGTGTTCCCCCATCTTGAGCCTATTTTATTAGCCTGCAAAGCAGGCGTTCTTGTGTGTTTGGGGAAAAACCGGGGTTTTGGGGGAACTTTGGAACAAGTGGGCACGTAGTCGGAACAGGAACCCTAAAATTTTGATTTTTCCTCAAACCCATCAAAAGAATTTTTTTAATGACTCCTCTCCCCTCCCTGGTAAAAAATGAACAATGTGAAAATGCGCTATATAAGAACCCCCATTATTATTATTATTATTATTATTATTATTTACCCTACCTGACTGGTAGCAGTGCTGGTAAAACATCCATGATGTCCATATTGATCATAATACCAGCTGCTGTTAATACTGGATGAGTAGCTGCTGGCCTTTAAGGATTTTATGTATATTTAGTATTTTAAAATGCATGGCTTAGTTCAATTATTGTTTTAAAATTTTAAATCTAAAGATCGAACATTTATCGAACCTTTTTTTCATATAGAAGATTTATAACAGATTGRATTTTATTAAGACTGTTGAATTGTCAAGTCGATGTTTACGTTATTTGTAGTTTATTTTTAAGGGTGTTTTAAAGCTCATTAAAATATATGGTAGTGACTTTGGGAAAGGAAGGAAGGAAGAAAGGAAGAAAGAAAGGAAGGAAGGATCTTAGGACGGAAGAAAGATAAGGAGGAAAGGAAAAAGGGAGGAAGGGAGGATAGGAGGGGGACGATGGTGATGGTGGTTAGAAGGAAAGATAGAAGGAAGGATAAAAAGATGAAGAAAAAAWATATATTTAATGTGAACGTAATATACACAATATTAACAATTTACATTATAACATATATCACTAAATTTAATAATATTAATATAATTAGAAAAGATACAAATTCTTGTTGACATTCAAAAACAGCAGTTATATTTACTTATCAATGCATACCTTAAGTATTGAAGTTGAWGATGATAAAAGAGCCATTCCATTCTCATCTAGCTTTGGTGCGCCCTGGTTAAAATCATGGCCTTCCATAACTCGAACATCAGTTACTGATGTCAAATCTACACCAGAGAATGGTGGCAATTTCCCTCTATGGGCCTTTAATGGACCAGTACGCTTCTTTTGCTTCATAGCAGGTTGCTGTAGAAACAATCACATGYCATAAGATAAATTGTAGATTACAAATTAAGAGAGAAAAAATTCTTTTTCGTATTCAAGCAGTGAGCGCCAAAAACTATTTTCTTGAAAAAAGGCTGTTGTACGAGGCTAAAATCTTTGCTTATTTCCCATATATTTTCTATAAAAAAGCCTGACAAACCAACATTCTAACACAAATGCAAYRAAACATCTTTGTACAATTGAAAATAYTGCTTCAAACAGGCATTTTATCATAGGTACATAAGTTTCTAACTGTTTAAAAAAGGTTTTGAGTGTTAACCCAAAACGAAAATTGAGATCAAAACYCATACTAAAGTCTAGTTTTTGGTGCTTTTTGCCATTATTGCTCATTATTGAAAAAMATTTCCTCTTAACATACTTTCTTTGAGGGTGGCCTAGGCTGGATGGTTTCAATCTGTGGTGTGTCTTGAGCAGATGGCTGAAGAGGACTAGTAATKGAGACTGGAGTATCTGATACCTTTAGATTTTGAAATGGTGGCTCTGGAGCCCTACAAGAAATAATCAAACAAATGTGGATATCAATTAAGTGGTGGTCAGTGGGTACGTATCACAACATTATGTGCACCATGCTCATCTTTGCTTTGCCTTGGTGGCTGTTTGAGCAGTTTGCTGTTTGCCAGCTTTGCTTTGTTTGCTGGATCCCTAGAGCTAGCTACAGGAGTTACTGCTACAGTTTTTTTTTTATTCCACCCTTTTATTCCTTTATTTGGTCTGCTGGTTAGTATCAAATAATACTCCACTGAAAAATTCAATGTGGTAGGTGTCAGGGTGACCTGTGGCTTAGATGCCATGGAAACCTTGCTAGCTTGATTTGGTTTTTCCTAAATTTTTATTTTTATTCCTTTTTTTAGAGGGAGAAAAACTGACAAACCTGAAAAAAATCCCTTAAAGCACAGGGGAGAACCAATTAAGTAACTCAAAAAGTATGACACCAATTCCGAAAATTAAACCTGATTTGGCTTTGTGAGAGGCAAGTACTATCACGGCTACCCAAACCATCCTTCCCAGATATGAGAGTCAATCATWAGACTATCATAATACTAACCCTGGTCTGTCTTCCTCAATACAAGAGTCCTCACTGTTTGCTTCTGATGCAACAGAAGTGCCTGTAGAACTAGCAGCACTTGTTGATCTCTCTATCACTACTGGCACAGAACCTTGTGCCCATGAGTCAGTTACAGGTGCTAAAGGCTCTACAAATAGAATCAYAGGAATATCAAATGAGATTCAAAAAAAGATCCTTATAATGGACTTGTTAATGTTTAGGGGTGTGGGGGTGGGGGGGTGAATAAAGTGTACCATGATCAAAATTATTTTGCTAACCCTCCTCTTACAGAAAAATGCACAAGAGTATGACCTTATTTAATATATTCGCATACTTCTACTTTTTGCTGTCAAACAAGTGTTTACATGCCTTATTCGTAAAACCAGCCARCTTCACATTGAAATGTGTAGGTTTAATATAAAAAAGCCTGTAAATGTATGCAGTAAATGTATGCAGTGTGGTTTTTGTTCACCCTTCATCCCAACTCTTTTGCTGCAATTACAGTACATCTGAATACTGGCATTTTCAGTAGACTGACATCTTTAGTTAATGGTAGAATACATCATGTTTAGAACAGGTTCAAATTAACAAGGGTTATCCTTAGAAATAAGGGCGTTCAACAACATTGCCAAGGCAAACTATACTGGTATCCTTTAAACAAAATTAATGTTGTATGTCTGCCTAAAAAATTATCTTCATTAGTACTAACCATCTTCCTCTAACCATGTGGGATCTTCTGCTGGATTTTCTTCTCCACCATCACAAGCTAAAAATTGCCACTTTTGAATAAAAATTTAAAATGATTAGAAGGGGACTGATATGATATCATTACTTGATTAGATGTAAAGGCAGCCACCAAAAGGAAATATTATGGTCAGTATGTAATGAATTTTGAAGTCACTAAGAATGGTTGCAAGTCAAGGTTGRATTTGATAATATCATACAGGAAATGCAGAATTCACAAATATGCATGACCATGAAATGATGAGTGACCATAAAACAATGGCTCCAAGTTGAGGTTTGTGATTGGCTAATGCGTGAAGAATAGGAATAAAGCTTGAGCATGCACGTCAAATTTTTACGCTTGTTGCTTCCGCCTGTTGCTTGTGCCATAGCTTCGCATCTCCACCCAATACCGAATATATTTTCTCCCAACTAGCCGTCAATATTTCGTGGTATTGTGTCTCAAAAYCATAATTAGTTTATAGTATTTTAATACAAGTCCAACCTTGACTTGGAGCCATTGTTTCGTCGTCACTCAAGAGAATTTGTTAAAGATCTCTCTTCTTGCTTGTACTCATAATACTCATAAGTGCTTAGGTCCGTGAGCAACAGACAGCTTTTGCATACCTCAATAATGTCCAGTAGCAACTGTTTARCTTCTTGTACAGAGTAGGGTAACGTGTGGTTCTGAATATACCGGTCATGAAGCACAGCCATTGTGGACTCCACAACTTCTTGTACAATATCRTATATAAAGTCTTCTCCATCTTCTGACTCTAACATCTGATGCCTGCCGATCAAGKTAAAATGATAATCATTGCAACAATGAACTTATTATAAGCTTGCCAACTTTTTTTACACAARCTTAGAGTCAAAAATAAATAGTAAAAACTGTTAAATAAATGTCATAATGCTTTTAAAATTTCACAGCTATAGGATGAAAATACCCAAGAAAAATTATCAGTTTATAAAGAATTTGTAAATACGGTACAAGTCAATGCTTTGTGGTTCAAATTAGAAAATAGACTAAACGAACGAAACGTACAAATGAAAATAAAATACCCAAGTTTATATTTTCAAAATACTATTACAGATTGAGCAGCATCAAGTCAAGGTACATATGCTTACCAGTCAGAGTCTGTGAATCTTCCTGGTACGATGTCATTACTAACTGGAGGTGGAGGAGCAGTTTGTGCTGGAGTTCGTGATTTTTCTTGCCTAGAYTTACTCATCTTGAGACTTGATTATYAGCGACGTCAAGAAAGATTGACAAATTTTTTCACATCGTATGRTAACAAAATGCCAATAAATTACTTCTACCTGACAGCTACAGTATTGTTAAAACTCTAAAGATRCATCCGAAWTCGGAAAKTTTCYTTTAAGGGACGTTATGAATCAAAAWTYGAGGATATTTATTGCCTTTTTACTTCGACGAGACGAAACAAAATGGCGGATAGTTTACTTTTTTGTTGCTATGCACTACACTCGTACCCAGTACCTCCTCGATACAGGAACCCCAGGGCAGAAGCTTTTCGAGCTATCTGCCACAACTTTTATTACGATGACAGAACTATTTCCTCTTGTATATATGACTCTGATCCAGCTGATCTTTGCTCCAACTGGGAAATCGACCCCTTACACCGAGCTCCTGCACGGCAGTAATATTTGGTTACTACCTTTTKTTCATTTTCAACCTAATTTTTCTTTTMTTTTTCTCTTTTTATTATATACGGAATATAAACCCTTGCTCGATTGGGTCACGTTTTCAGAYCAAAATGTAGTGCCCCAAGTGGACCTCTCTTGCGAGTCTTTACATATTGTATTTGTGGGAGAYGGGAATTTCTCGAGGGCGGTCAAGGGGCGGCGAAGGAGCGACGAAGGGCGCGAGAGGTCCACGTCGCGCGCCAGTCGGTAAAGATACGCAGAGGGCGGAGGACTTATTTGAGGAAGACTACAAAATAATTGACACGAGTTTAAGCAAACGCATGGTTTTAATGAACGCCTACTGTAAGGTACCTAAGAAGTTCAAACTAACAAATCTTAGCAGAATAAAATCGATTATAGACTATAAATATAAAGTATTTTTGAGCGGTAAACGCGCGATAGCAAGATTTCAAAATGCCAATGCCGTCCACATACTATTAGAACGTATGGTGATTGGATTGTGCGTTTTCCCGCTCTTTGATCGGTTCAGCCTGGAAACCATKTAAAGCCATGGTATAGTTAGTTTTGAGCTAATATGAAGTATTGTCTAAAAAGTTAATAAATTATTTTAAATTATTTTAATAGTTRAAACTATTAAAATAAGTCTGATAAAGTTAAAGATCGAAGAAAGGTTGTTCTAAAGCCCCGTTTACACTAGCGATTTTTGCGGCGATTTTTGCTGCGATTTTTATGCGATATTGTCCATAATGAATAATGGTAAAGAATTTACTCGTAAAGTTTTTTTCAGGATACCAAAGACAAAAGATTTCATATTTCCGAAAATTGCCACAAAAATCGCAGCAAAAATCGCAGCAAAAATCGCAGCAAAAATCGCAGCAAAAATCGCCAGTGTAAACGGGGTTTAAGAAAAAACATGATAGGCATGAAGAGCCTAGTTATGGTAAGAGAGGTTAGTAAAACTTAGATAGTTTTACTTGAGTGAAATGACTCCATTACAACTCAATTAAGTGTTGTTGTTATTGATATTATTATTAAATAGATAAATACACTATTAATTAAATAAACTTTATATTATCTTAACAACGTTCTATAAAGTTTGCATGATAGTAAAACATGTTTTTATGTACAATGAAAGGTTAAGAAGCAGTCGAGTCAACATCTTACCCCGGGGGGGGACTCCGGGAAAAAAGTACCGGGGATGCTCGTCGGAAATTTTCAAAAAGACCCCTAAAAGATACCGGAAGTCTTTAAAAAGGGCGTGGCTGAATGATTTTTAACCCCTAAGAGATACCACAACAAATRATATTAAATTTTATATAAAAAGCGCCTAGAATAAGCCATACCGATGCACGCTTCTCTCCTTTTTCCGACACCCTAAGAGATACCAGAAAATGCTGATTTTCAAAAATTCGCATTTAACMCCCTAAAAGATACCAAATCACGAATTTTTACCCCTAAGAGATACGACGAGCATCCCCGGTACTTTTTTCCCGGAGTCCCCCCCTCCCGGGCATCTTATGAGTGAAAAAGTATCGTTGTATATGTAGAACGGAATTAAATAAGGAACCTTTGATCTACCATTGTCTTTCTAGCGAGGTTCTTCCTACCAAAGCTGTCCCTTACAATGACTAATATCTTACTAATAAAGTAAGTCAGCACCCCAGCTAACACATAGTTCGTAGAGATATAGTCAACAATACCAAAGAAGAGCAAATCAAACAACATCAGCGTCCATTCGTTACCATAAAATAGCACAGAATTGAAAGACTTTCCGTCGTCCTTGTAGAAGATGGCTTTATCGACTGGCTGTTCCCTTACCTCTATGTTGAAGATTCTTTCAAAGAGAAGCTTGTCGTAGACCAGATAGTCCAGATCACGGAGCGAGTGGTCGATGAATCCAGATAGAAATCTGTTCATTGCCATGTAAGCTTGAATACTGCGCTCTACTGCTATGGGAAGACTACCTGTCGCACCTGAAAAAAAACAAACAAGCATTTTGAATAGTGTTTTTGTACGAGTGGGAAACGACACGGCAATCTGTAGTCGTGGTATAGTCGTACCATATCTTAGCGTAGCAGTAGTTACGCGTTATGATTGGACGAATTACTAGAAGACGGTAAGAAGCGATTTAATTTTACGGCAGGTCGTACCGTGTACGTGTTGTACGACAGCACCGTATCTTTCCCACTCATGCGATAACCATTCCTATGGGAAGCCATTTCAGTGTTATGRCATGTCATATCTGGCTCGTGCGCTGCAAGTCAGTACTTTCAAATGTCGGTACCCTCAAACAACCTCTGGGCTGATCTAAGTCAGGGCAAGATTAACTCAGAGATCAAACCCTGAAACAACCTCTGGGCTGGTCTTAGCCAAGCTAAGACTAACTTAGTTTAAATTTGTTCTATTTATAATTATTACTTTCTTTACGAATATATAACATTACCTGGTGCAGATGATGGAAGGTTTCTTCTCTGTGCTTGCTGGTCCCTGTGCCGTAGTGGCTCCACAACCTGATTGTACTGCTGGCGAAACTTATGAGGTAACCCTGCTTCAAACGTCTGGTGATCAGAATTAGGCTCYAACCCTCGCTTGCCACACAAGTCCTCCTCTTCTCTCTTAATCTGCTCGTTAATCTCCTTCATGTTGGTATCTGCACGACCATGTACCGATCGGCCATGGATGTAGTATCCAAAGAGGGTGTTCTCCATGATAAAAATGCTGACATTTGCCATAGAGCACAGGTCTACAAAGTCTCCCAAAGCATCGCCAACAAACCTCTCGTAAATAAAAGCAAAGTAAAACCACTGTACACACTCTATGCACAAATATACCATGGTTAAGACTGCAAACCTAAGAATAGGGCTGTACTCTCCAATGTACTCAGTCGTAGGATCCACTTTAAAACGACTTATGGGGTCTGTAGTAGCGAGGTGCTCAAAGCCAGCTACTTTGAGGAAGAACAGTGTGGCGAAGATCTGCAATTCAGGGCTAATTTTTCTCATTGTTTGAATCTCGTTCCATTCATTTGCAACAAATAATGTCCTCCAGATGCTAATGGGTGCGTCCATGGGTGCATTTTCACCCCCTTGGCTAGGCTGGGTTATTCTACCTCTTGGCCTCTCCCAATCAACGAAGAATATATCAATAGATATCTGTACCACTATCAAATGGACCACATCAACTAACTTGAACACAAAAGCAACAATGAGTAAATCACGGAATAGTCTTCCTTGACTCTCATTTGGAAGGAATCGGTAAACAATGTCTTGTTGTTTAAAGAAAATGAGCCACTGTATGGAGAGGCCCGTGATTATCMAAAAGTACATGGTAGACAAGGATCCAAATGAGTACAGAATCCACTTCAACAGGGTAGGGCAGTCTATATTCTCAGTTCCATAACGGCGCCGCCAACCAAGAACTTTGATGAGRGCAAGTATGGCACCCAATCCTGATAGACATCCAATTGCAGTCTGTGGAAAAGACAAAGTTTTTTTATTTTGAAGATGTTTGTGCTGAATAGGCCTGCCTTTTGCAGTTAACAGTCACGTGTCTGTACTGGAGAGCAAAATTATTGTTTTTATATTAAATTGGTTATTTTTAGCTACAGTCATTTCTTGCCTTGCAGAAACCCTGATATTACAACACCTTACTATTAGGGACTAGAGTAAAATCCCCTGTGAAGGATACTGAAAAAGAAATGACCGTAATTAGCTCTCGTTATTGCGGACACCTGCTATTACGGACAACAAGTGACAGTCCTGAGGGTGTCTGCTGTAGTGAGAGTTGACTGTACTTGTAAAGAACTGAATAAAACAATGTGTACCCAGTGTGTTACGAAATGCAGTTTTATTACGATCTCTCAAAACAGGTTGTAGAAAGTGTGTTTGCTCACCAGTAAATTTCACCCATGGGAATCAAAAATATTCATTCATTTGCTCTCAGCGAATTAATCAGCATGTGATTACAGCCAATCTTAGATTATRACATACTTACCATTGTATCATCCTTTATTTCAGAATCATTCATCTCATATGTGACTTTGTATGACACAGACTTACTGGACTTGGCAACTTCAGCTGCATTTGACACATCGATYGAGTCATAGGTTATCTTGAGGTACGGTGGATGGATTTCTCCATTAGATGATCTTAATCGTATAATGACTTCAATCTCTTTCGCATACCTAATCATAGTAACTTTCTCATTAGCTGATGTCCGTCCTACAAGATTCTCTACCAGGAAAAATCTCCTTGTCAACTGCCAGTTGGTTCGGTCACTTTTGGTGTTCACAGGTTCATTCTTAAATATGTAATTCTGAAGGAGAACAGGGAGGGCATACAGTTCTTTGTTGTCCAAGAGAATGTACATGTCGTAGAAATACATCGGCATGGATAGAAGTTTGCTGACTGGAACAGAGCAGGATGAGATGAAAGTTGTTGCAAACTTACTTGYRGCATCCATCTTTGTCTCCCTGTCTTGACAGATTTGGAGTCTTGAAGTGTCATTCTCAARCCCARTGAAACTACCATTTAAGGTGAATATAGCAAGAGTAAAAGTCAATCTGCCATTGGCTGTAAACCTAGTTTTGATGTCTCTCCTGTCAAGGGTATCCACAGCGTCTTGGTCCCTTTCTGCAAAGTATAACCACGGCATATTGATAGGCCAGTCAGGGTTCCCATTAACCTTCTCCTTATTRGCTGAGATATCTATGTACACTTTACAGGCATCTGATTGGGTTTTTGATTGTGCAAGATCTCTGGTGTAATCCAGCAAAACGCACAAATTTCCCAGAAGTTGACATGCAGTAAAATTTTGATAGTCTTTACAGAGGACCTGTGCAGCTTGGAAATTCTCCTTGAAAAATGAGGAAACAATCTTTTTGTCGTYGTCATAGGTTACCGTGTATAACTCACTGCCTTTTTCAGTGACAAGYTTTGACTTGGACAGACAGACACCTCCAGTGACCTGGTAGGAATCGCTTGGACAATCACAGACACTTCTAGATGCATTAGYTTGCAAGAAACTCGAATGACAACGCCTGCAAGAACCACCGTCCGTCACCGGACTTGTGTCTTGTAAGCAAGTAATACAAGCTCTTTGACCAAGCTTGCTTCCATCTAAATTTCTGTCGATAGGCACAGAACCGGACGAACAATCGAAGCATTTATTATTACTGGGGTCAAAACCGACAATAAGAGGACACGATACACAAGACCACCCATCTAAAGACGTAGTCTTGTTAATATTACTCCCACTGTCATAGCAGGATTCACACTTCAAGTCAGGTCCACCGTTGTCTTCTGTAATCTTGTAACCAGGGATGCACAAACATGACAAACCATCGTCGCTACGTGTCTTTCCTGACCCACATTCAACACATTCTAGGGAAGAAAACCTGAAATATTGACTCGAGGTACACGTACTGGGGTCTGAATAAGGAATTTTGAAAGYATACGCTTGGAAAATCCAGGTTGTCAAGAACAAAACAAAAACCGTGAGTCCCGCCATTTTTTTTCTGAAGTGGGAATGCAATGWTGCATGACGGGTAAACCACAGGGATACCAAAATAAACTATATTTATCAATTATTTTTATTTTTACTATCTTAATATAAACTGTAAATTAATTTTCTTCTGTTTTGAATGGGCTATCGGTGTTAAAATTCAGTAATAAAAGTGCATTTTCAGCTAAGAAGTATTAGAGAATTCATCCAAAACAAGAGTATCAAAAGAAGTTTATGGGTTGCCTGTGTTAGTGGAGGAAGCAAACATGGCGAACGTCTGTGAACGTAAAGATGCACATGGATGATAAAGTCAATCATATGAACCTAAGAATCTCAGAATATCATATTTTTGGGTAATTGTAATAAGRATAAAGCTTTCAGGATGGTCAAGGAACAGTTTAGAGAGGCTGGTGTCACTAAGAAAATGTGAGTAAAGTTTGAAACGAAATTTGTCGTCCAAGTTCTTTAGCTAGCTTTTTTAAATTGTTTTTCTCTTTCTTTTTTTTTATTTTTATTYATTTTTACTTGTTGTTTAACTGACATTATTTGATGATTTCATAAGCAGTATTAAAGCTTAATTTTAACTCTAGGGGATTAATTTTTTTTTTTGTTAACTTATGTTTCCAGAAGCCATGTTAACTTTGGCATGTTCTCGTCTGAACAAATGCAACAGTACTCACAATTGGAATGTGTCAGTAAAAACCTGTACAACCAGGACAACTCTCGCAAGCCAGTTCCTTTTGGAGTTCTTGATGCAAAGATGGTATGAATCAAGATCTGTCCATGAGCAGTGGTCCTGTGGGTGTGGGGGGGGGGGGGGTTACCTTGAAATAGCTTCCCATTGTCGTACTGTAATTATTCATCCAATCAGGATATGTAATTGTGGTTTCATAAGATGTAAGATGAGACTGCTACAGTTTTACGACTATGAATTTGCTGTGATCATTTGTCACAAGTAAGAAAAAACATTATTATTTCTAGCTAGGTTACATATGGGTTGTTGTTTTTTTTTTTCGCCAGGGAACTTGTTCAAAAGACAGGACTTGTGACACATGTGGCAAAGGACTTGCAGACTGTGTTGGCCACTATGGATACATCGATCTGGAACTACCAGTTTTTCATGTTGGTCATTTTAGAGCAACAGTTGTTATTCTACAATGTATATGCAAGGTATGTGTTGTATACACTCAAATAGTACCATTCTACTACATCATGGATCCTATTTGCACCCCCTGAACCTCTCCCCTAGATCCCCCCATTGTATGCAGTGATATGCTTATGGAAGCCAAGGAAGAGTCCAAGGAAAATGAAGGTCAAAAGTCAAATAAAGGAAGGGGAGGGGAAGGGAGGGGAGAGAGAGTGAGATAAAGAATGATGATGATGCTGGTGATGATGATGTTGATGTTGATGATGACGATGATGATGCATTGATGATGATGAGGTTGGTGATGATGATGCTGGTGATCATGTTGATGATAATGATGATGATGAGGATGGCGATGATGATGATGATGACTATGATGATGGTGTTGATGATGGTTTGAGGATGATGAGGATGGTGATGATGATGATGATGATAATCTTATGGTGGTGGTGATGATGATGATGATGATAATCTTATGNTGGTGATGATGATGATGATGATAATCTTATGGTGGTGGTGATGATGATGATGATGATAATCTTATGCTTTTGTTTTATACACAGAGCTGTAGTCGAGTTCTGTTACCACCAGCAGAGAAGAAAAAATTACTGGACAGCCTGAATCGTCCCTTTGTTAGTGCATTGACCAAGAAGGCAATCAAAAAGAAAATTATTGAAAAATGCAAGAAAATTGCACACTGCCCTTACTGTGAGGCATTAAATGGTGAGACATGACCTTACACCCCCCTGACATTAGAAACCTCCCCCCTGACATTAGAGATGTTGTACATGAAAAAGCATCATGCGCAATGGATGGTGATGTCAGGATGATGACACAAGCTTATTTTAAAATGGTTTTGCATGCACCCACYATCCTCCTCTGCATTACCATCCTTGTGAGAGTACATCAGGTTGGTGCTGTTTTCCTGTCCTAGAAAAAACAACATTTTCAAGCAGACAATATTCTCAATTCACACATGAAAAACCACTAAGAACCACACTGAGGATATACTGTACATGTAATGAARCCCTGGGTCTTACTTGGTGTCGCAGGATGTATTGTATTCTGGGTTAGGGTTATTGTATTGCARGGTATTGTTTAACTCCAATCTCATTGTTCTCGGCTATTATTTTATTGTCTTCATGGCTCAGGTGYCCTGCAACACCAAGAAAGAGCCGAAACCCTGACAGTGACCACTTTCAGCGTCTACATTTGATGCTAACCACCTCTCATGTTTATAAATTTATTTATTTTTAATCTTTGGTTCCACCCCTTACATTTTAATATTGGACCTAGGATGGCAAGCATAATACGCAAACCATGTAGACCATATATTTTAGGTACTGTAATCTAGAGCAGCGATTTTTCTTTCAAGGTTTTGTGAGAAAAGCAGGGCTGATGAAGATTGTGCATGAAAAATACAAGTCAACAAAAAAAATAGTTGATCCAGAGATCACTACATTCCAGAGTTCATTTGAATCAGCACTGGAGTACAACAAAGACTTGGTCAACTTGGTCCATAAGGCTCAGGTAGGGGAATTATTATCTATGAACTGTAAAGAGATGCATTGACAAAAGAAAATGCTGAGAGACAACGGAGTCAATGAGATCTATTTATGACAAAAAAATCCATGAATTTGTGGGAATCTTGAGCTGTGGAATGCAATACTAGTAAAAATATATTCAGCAATGCCAGATCCTGAAGTGTAGCAAAAAAGTATGGTCAAAATGTCGATTGAAATTGACAATAGTCCCTTTCACAGTTCCYTTCGCCATCTTGAAAGGTAGCAAGGTAGCCGTGCCTTTGCATCGAAGYGAGACGAACGGTGAGCTTGCAATGATAGAGACCTTTTTTTAACACCTTGGACAATAATTCACAGGTCTCTATCATTGCAAGCTCACCGTTCGTCTYGCTTCAATGCAAAGGCCCRGCTACCTTTCAAGATGGYGCAGGGAACCGTGAAGGGGACTATTGCAGAGAATTCCCAAAAAATGAACAATGAAATTAACGACACCTGCAAAAAGAAGGTTTCAGACATACGATAAGCCCCGTTTACACTAGCGATTTTTGCGGCAATTTTTGCTGCGATTGTTTTGCTATTTTGTCCATAACAAATGATAATAAAGAATTTACTTGTAAAGTTTTTTTCAGGATACCAAGATTTTCCTAGACGAATGTCTCCTTTGAAGGATGAGACAAAAGATTTCATATTTCCRAAAATTGCCACAAAAATCGCCAGTGTAAATAGGGCTATAGGAATTATAATCATTATGTTCATTTTATTTATTTGTTTTTAGGAGGTCATGAATCCCCTCAAGGTTGTTGATTTATTTAAGCAAATACSAGAAAAAGTAAATAAAGATTATTTATAAGTTCAATATTGCCTGTTTCAATCATTTTCTAACCATCTATCCATTCATCCATCCCATCTTTTGTCATCCCATCCATCTATTATCAATAATTTATTCTTCCATATTTTCATTTATTCATTTACACACTAATTAATCCATCCATCCATTCATTTATCCATCAATCCATTCATCCATCAATCCCATCCCATTCTGTCCCATCCATCCATCCATCCATTCTTCCATCCATTTATCCATCCATCCATACATACACACATCCACCCATTCATTCATTCATTCATTTATTCATTCATTCATCCATCCATCTTTTCATCCATCCATTTTTCCTCCAGCATATGGAGACTTATTATATATCTTCATGTGATAAACACACAAAGGGTTAATTCAGATTCRTGTCACTAACAACTTTATTTCATTACCTTGTATAGGATTTTCCACTTCTGATGCTTCGTCCAGGGTTTAGTCACCCTCAAGATTTGATACTCACACGTGTTCTAGTCCCACCTGTTTGTATCAGGCCCTCTGTTGTTAGTGATCTCGCTAGTGGAAGGTGAGCAGACAGAGTCGTGAGTAATTTAGCTTTAAATCAAGTGTGATTTTTACAATGTTATTATGATATAGGGACAATTAGGTAACTATTTTCTGTACTTTCTGTTTGTGCCATTTTTCTGTTTTCTCTTTGTCCCATAGTAATGAAGATGACATAACAATGAAGCTGACAGAAATCGTATTCTTAAATGATGTGATACGCAAACACAGAGCCATTGGTGCAAAAGTGCAAATGATTATGGTGGGTACTGTCAGACAGAGAGACTGCAGACAGACAGACTGCAGACAGACAGACAGACAAAGATTGACTACAGACAGAAAGTCAGACAGACAGACTTAACAGGCAAACAGACAGAACAGACAGACAATCAGACAGACAGRCAGAAAGGTGCATAGACAGATGGACAAGCACACAGCAGGGTTTTCATTAGTTTTGAAATAATAGGAGAGAAAAATATGAACTGCTGGAGAGTCCTGATGACCTAGTGAACATTTCACAAATGATGAAAGCTATTAATGGCTGTTTAAGCTGGATGATTTTATTCAGTTACTTAGGCATTCTTTGATCCCCGACCCTTAACAGAGATAACGATAACAGCTGTTTATGTGTATGAGAATATATATGAAATATGTATTTGTACTGCAGTTGTATGTATCAAATTGACATGAGCTGATCCTYGCAGTATATGAAGCAACTTATGCAACTGCAAATTGAAAGACTCAGAAAAAATTCTGGGTCTTGAACGGGATATGAACCCATGCCTTGGCRRTTCTGGTGCCATGCTCTAACCACTGAGCTACCAAGTCTCATATGAGACTTCAAGGACACATTAGTGGGTTTATCAACCCGATAAACAATTGTTTACACCACTTATACATTTTTATTTCATTTCTCGTTTCCTGTGCAGGAAGACTGGGATTTCCTTCAGCTTCAGTGTTCTCTGTACATCAACAGTGAAATGTCTGGTATACCCCTGAACATGCAGGTACAAAATATGAAGTTTTTTAAATCAGAACTTAAAACTTACTCTTAAATACGAGTCCCCCCTCCATCATTCTCCCTCATAAGGGACCAGTCATTATTTAAGTTGGGGGGGGGGGGGGGGTTGGGGGAGAAAATGGGGAGCCCTCAATTTTTTTTAGTGGAACAAGGTGGGTCTTGAAAGGTCAAAAGGAGGATTGGGAGGATTAGGAGGATTTTTTAAACAATATTGAAGGGGGGTACCTGAAAAACATCAATGCTATTAGGTAGGGGTCTGGAAAATGTTTTGCATCCCACCTCTGACCTAAATAATGACTGGTCCCTAAGCCTAACCTCTGGTAATGCATGTTCATGGCTTTAATGGCACATTATGAGAGCTTGACTGAAAAAATAAGATAAAAAGYAACTGGTTCCTCTTCATTTTCCAAACTCAGTTAAAACTACCCCCACCTGTCGCCCAGTTATAAGGCCATTAAAAAATCATTACAAATGAGTATAGGCCCAGGAATTATAACAAGGATTTTCATACTGGTACAAATGGTCATGAAAGGAATAAAAAAGCATCTATTTGTGTTGTTTAATCTCATTTTGTTGTTTTATCAGCCCAAGAAAGGGACAAGAGGCTTTGTCCAGAGGTTGAAAGGTAAACAAGGTCGTTTCCGTGGCAACCTGTCTGGAAAAAGGGTTGACTATTCAGGACGAACTGTGATTTCTCCCGACCCAAACCTTAGGATTGATCAGGTATAACCAGCATGAAAAATGGAAAGTTGTGTTATAATTTTATTTATTTAATTGCAGAAAGAATTGTAGTATATTATTTTGATAATGTTCTCTAAAACAAATCCTTGTTCTAAAGTCCTGACTGAAACATCTTTACCACACATGTCATGTTTAGGTATTCCTAAATGTTTCCCAGTTTAGGTGTTTTTAGATCTTGGATAGTTATTAAAGATGTGCATTTTGTTTCTCAAAGCAAATGTTTCTCGAAAAAATTTCCTGGAGCAAATTTTTCTTGAAACAAAATTCCTGAAGCTCAGAATTTTTTTCGAGAAAAAATTTATTTGAAACATGATTCACATCTTTATTGTTACATGTTAATGTTTTCCAATGTTTCCYGACAGGTTTAGCCTCCTTTGGAGACAAATAACAACACAAAAACAACACGGAAATGTTTCCTGGTTTAGCCAGGGCTTAAATCTCAATCGGTTCTAAACTTTTTGTACATTATAGGTTGCTGTTCCAGTCCTTGTTGCTAAGGTCCTGACATACCCTGAGAGAGTAAGTATATGTTGCTTATGCAAACACACAAGAACAATAGAGTTAACCATACTTAATGTAAGCACGATCTTGTTAAGCTTCAGCTATTGTATATAACCTACTTCTTTTGAAAATATTCCTGTTAATATGTTGTTAATAATTTAGTAAAGTATCAAGGGCCTAGATAGGGGGGGCGAGGGCCCCCCTTTTATGACACAAAAATGGCGGCATTCATAGAATATATGCAGTAATTTTAAGTTTTGTTCCCCCCCCAACCCTCTTCATGGTAATAAAATTGCCACTTTCTAGAATTGATACAGTGATTTTAATTTTTTTAATTTTTAATTTTTAAATTATGCAAAATTAAAAGCACTGCAGGTCCTTTAAATTTTTTGGTTCAGTGCTATGGTGGCCCAAACAAAATGGCTGATTTATGGATTTGGGCCCCCCTGGCTACACCCCTGAAGAATCTTTACTAATGGTTTCTATCAACAGGTTACAAAGTCAAATATGGAATTAATGAAAAAACTTGTTTTGAATGGGACGGACAAGCATCCTGGAGCAAACTTTATACAACAACGCGAGACAAACATTAAAAAGTAGGTGAAATTCACAGTTAATAGCAATGCCGAGATACAGCTGGTGAGAGAAGAATTATCCAACAACATTTTCATTTTGTCACCAGATTTCTTAAATATGGAAACAGGAAGTTAATTGCAAAGCAGCTGAAGGTAGGACAATGAATATTCCCCCAGTTACATTACTGTACTGCATGGGTACTTACAGTGTAACTACTGTAACCAAGGCCACTTAGACAGTTAGACAAGAGAACCAATTAAAATGTAGAATGAAAACAAAGCATTCCAACTTTGGGTAGTGGAGCCAATCAGAAAACTAGACTGCACAAGAATGGGAATTTGACCCAGATGTAACGTGTAAACGAGTAGACAGCCTCGTGGGTATAAAAATATATGTTGAACGGCTATCTCCTACCTAAAGTTCTACAATTTGATGGTTCTTGCTGATTGGCTCCACTACCCAAAGTGGGAAAGTATTGTTTTTATTCTATGATTTGATTGGTTATTGCTGTCTAAGTGGCCCCAGCATTATTATTATTATATGTAGTCGTCGCACTGTAACTGTTGCAATTTTTTTTTACAGTGTGGAGATATAATTGAAAGACACCTGATGGATGGAGATGTTGTCTTGTTCAACAGACAGCCTTCACTTCACAAACTCAGCATTATGTCTCATTTTGTAAGTAGCAGAACCTTGGGGCAAACCTAGTTTATGCCTGAATAGACTCTTTGCCAAAATGGCCACTGCAAATTCGAATGAGTTAAAATTAAACTTAAAAACCAATACCAGCACTGGAAAGAGCACCTTTACTTTAGTAACCCTACGAAGATTCATTATGTCAGGTGTTATATCGGCCAAGAAAACTTTAGTTGAAAATTGACAAATTAGCAGACGTTTGTACGTCTGGGGTAACATCTGTAAATTTGTCAATTTTCAACTAAAGTTTTCTCATTTCAATTTTCGTCCACCATTTTGGCAAAGGGTGTATTGCTCGTTGCCTTTACTGCAATGCAGAAGTTTTTAGGTTCATCACACAACATTTCTTTCCCCACAAGAAACAATGCATAGCARCATGACAACACTAAGAATGTCTGCTTAGGAAGCCAGTCCTTAACTGCACATTATTACTTTTTATGCAGGCAACTGTTCGTCCCAGTCGTACATTCAGGTTCAATGAATGTGTCTGTACCCCATATAATGCTGACTTTGATGGAGATGAAATGAACCTCCACTTGCCGCAGACAGAGGAGGCCAAGGCAGAGGCCATGGTTCTGATGGGGGTAAGTTGTATCTCTTTTTTACATACTGATTTAATATAGTCCCCCAAGCTGTGACAATGACTGGTATCTTTAGAAGAAGGCAGGGCCCTTTTTAAAAAAATCCTTTAACCTTCATATTTTATTGACACCCTGAAATAAATTCTGGGCTGATCAGAGCACAAGTAATTCACAATCCAAATTGGAATTTAGCTGGTTGGGTTTTGCGGAATGAGGAAACTGAAGAACCATGAGAAAAACCCTTGAATCAATGAGGTCAAAAACTCCATTCACATGTGATGTCAAATCCAGGAATGAAACTTGAGACACCAGAGGCGAGAGGCAAGTGCGCTACTACTATACCAACCCTTAATGCCAGTGCCCATTATTTTGATGTCTAAACATATAATCTGATTAGAAGTACATTTCTGTATGTAAGGATATGAATTATTCAACTCTCAGGTGAAGAATAACCTCGTCACTCCAAGAAATGGAGAGCCCTTGATTGCGGCTATTCAAGACTTCATAACTGGTAAGAGAAATAAGATAAATTAAATTAATTACTTTATTTAAGTGTCTAGTCATTCTAGCGCTTTCGCACTAATTGGGGACACTTTTCACTCGCACGCCCTACCACTACATTAAATGTTCTATGCACACAACGCTCAGCTSACATGTTGATTTTTACGGAGGGAAGAAACCGGAGAACCCGGAGAAAACCCTCGTAGCAGAGGAGAGAACAACACATCAAACAAACTCAATTCACGTGTTCATTTTTGCGCACGCACCATGGTTTTTTAATGCCAGTCAGGAAAACAGCAGTTTTTGCATAAATCACCAAAAAAAATTCAAAATCTATGCACACAACGCTCAACTCAAAATTACCTATGCGTTCCTGGTATATTTTACGTCATGATACAGGGATTCATTGCTTAGTCTTCCTAGCCAAGCACTGTTGGCGTTACCCTTCTAGCAGAGGTCTTTTTCTTTCTTCCTCTAAAAATGACTTCCGCTCAGGTTGTCGAAACGTCATTCACCACCAAAAGCCTTTCTCAAGACTACACTCACCCGAACGATCACACTTCACGACAAACTACAACCAAACCATTTACTCTTACAGAGACAAATGATCAATGATTCAGTTCTATACTACTTTCCTAGCTCGTAAATAAATTCATCAAACGATAATATCGTGTTTTATTTCACAGGGGCATATCTCTTGACATACAAGGATGTCTTCTTAGATAGAAGTCATTTCACTCAGCTGTGCAGTGCCATGGTAGCAGGCAGAGATATTGATAAGGTCCTTGATTTACCGCCACCAGCTATTATAAAGGTATCATAACCAGAAGAATATTTGAGTTTGCGTTGACTATAGACTCCTTCGCAGGCATCTCCTTGGCTCTTTTTGCTCCTTGGGCTTCCTGTTCCTAGTTCGTCTCTGCCATAAGATTTAACACAGGGATCCCAAAGGAGAATATATGGAGTAGCCTGCGGAGGAGGCTCAGGGTTCGTGCTACTCCTTTAACTCCTTGAAAACTCCTTGAATTTTTGCTTTGAACATTGTTTGCATGGTTCTGAAATAGATCTTGTCAGAAAGATTGGAAAATCTGAAAGTCGGTCATGTGCAACCACCGTGTAAAACCTTGGCATATTTAGCTGAACATACACCTTGAAAATTCATTTTTGGGTCCTTGTATACTCCTTGAATTTTAAGTGGTTACCTCAGCACGAACCCTGGAGGCTACATTGACTAGTGATGGGGAAGGCTTTACTGTATGACTTTATTTACTTATCGTTATGTGAGTAGCCTTGTAAGGGACTTCGTGTCCTATTGCTSTTTCACCTGCCCTACGCGGCGAATTGTCAAATAAATCGTTGCTGTTTGTCTTCCCTCAGCCTTGTTGTTTGTGGACTGGTAAGCAGGTCATCAACGTTCTTCTGAGACCAAACAAAAAGATTAATGTCAAGATGAACTTAAGAGCCAAAGGCAAACAGTACACATCTAATGAAGACTTGTGTAACAATGATTCATGTATGTATTTATACCTGACCATTCATAGTTACAAGTACCCCTTTCCTACAGGGAGGTAGGGGTACTATTTACCAGTATTGGGACAGTATGAACTTGATAGCCAAGAGCAAACAGTACACATCTAATGAAGACTAGTGTTACAATGATTCATGTAAGTAATAGACCTCCTCGGCTCARGCGTAATGTTTTCCCATTTCAGACCACGTGTCATTCYCTTAAGAATAAAATTCTTTTTTTGAGTTGTATCCATATTCAAGTGTCTTCTCAGGTGCAACAGAGCGCAAACCTTAAACAAATGTGATCTGAAATGGGACAACATTACGTCAGAGCCGAGGAGGTCTATTATACCTGACCATTCAAAGTTACAAGTACCCCTTCCTTGCATAACCTTCCCAGGGAGGTAGGGGTCAGTACTAGTTGCAAAACCCTCAAAGCACAGAAGACAACCAACAATTGACTCTCCTCACATACGTTACCAAGCCTGGCCGGGCTCGAACCTGTGTTGCATTGGTGAGGGTGGGCGCATTAGCATTGCACGCCACCCATGCTTCCCAAATTAACTAGCAATAATTGTTACCTTCTAGTTGTGGTGATTCATAACAGCGACTTGTTGTGTGGTGCATTGGACAAAGCTGTGCTTGGATCAGGATCTAAGAATAGTGCATTCTATGTGTTACTAAGAGACTACGGTCCTCAGGTTAGTGCTTGATACATGGTGCTCAAGACTAGGATATCAAGGGTGGTGTAGCATCTCTGGGCTCTCAGACTCTGTTTCTATACTTAAACATTTCATGTGCACAAAGTTAATTTTAAAAGTTAACTCATTCGCCAGACCCCAGGCGAGAGGCGAGCATGCGCTACCTCTACACTACCCTTGATTCAAGTACATTTCCTTGTTCAAATTAAAAACCCCGCATAATGTCATCTTGCATCACTTTGCGCCCAACCAAACGCTGTTAAGTAACTAAGTGACTGTTGTATTCCGTTTAGTATGCAGCAGATGCCATGTGGAGACTGGCAAGAATTTGTCCTTTCTTTCTCAGTGAGTACTTATTCTACTTTATTGTGACCAGTGAGGCCCTGTTAAATATCGACAAGCGACATTGCCGTGAAACTGCGACACAAGATCCACAAACTACCGTCTAACAACAGACTGCTCTAATGAATTCCTGACAGCGAGGCCCTGTTAGGGGTAAAATTCCGACAAGCGACATGGCYTTGGCGACACGAGATCCACAAACTACCGTCTAAAGACAGACTGTTCCAATGAATTGAGAATTGAAGAGACAGAAGAACTTTCTGAAATTGAGACATAGGCAGTTGTGAAACTCAGAGGGAAGGCATAGTTCCCCCCTCCCCTAATAGGACCTCACCAGTACTGTAGTTATAACTTGTTTTACAATCTCTTGTACCACTCGTTATTAATGTCATCATTGGGCTTGGTTTCTTCAGGTAACAGAGGGTTTTCTATAGGAATTGGTGATGTCACTCCTGGGCAAGGTCTTCTAAAAGCAAAGGAGGACCTTCTCGATACAGGGTAAGCGAGGGTTTGTTATTAACCGCAACTACTGGATGTTTTACCTTGAATCTGGTGACAATGTGGATGACAATGATGATGATGATGCATGATGATATGATGATGATGCATGATGAAATGATGGTGGTGGTGATGATAATGATGATGAAGATGATAATGATAATGACGATAATGACACTGTTGTCGATGGAAATGCTGCTACTGCTGCTGATATAACATTTACTTTAACGTGTTGATGGCTTATCGTCATCATCGCCATTGTCATCGTGTTCGTGATTATCATTTCCTGGTATAGACTAAGAACTTGTCCAGCACAAAGGCCCTTTTCTTTTTTCCTTTTCATAAAGAGACCTTCATTATTTGATCACATCATCGTCAAGAACTCTTGAAAGTGAGGTTCTCAACCCATCTTTTGCCTGTATCATTATTCATCATCTTCATTATCAACATCATCATCAACATCATCATCATCCTCATATTCATCCTTTTCCTCCTCCTCCTCCTCCTCCTCCTCCTCCTCCTCATCATCATCATCATCATTATCATCATCATCACAATATTACTTTCTTATGTCAGGTATTCCAAATGTGATGAGTTTATCCAAGATTTCAAAGAAGGCAAGCTGCAGACACAGCCAGGCTGCTCGGCAGAAGAAACACTAGAGGTTAGCGATGGCAAGAGATTCCTTGGCAGTCTTACAGACACAGCACCGCAACCAGTGATAATGCATGGCGTCGCCACTACCTAAACACCTATAGCAACAGACACCTCTACAATAACAGCAACACCACCACCACGACCATCACCAACAACAACTCTGGAAACGTCAATAATAACAAACAACAACAATAACAACAACAAACAACAACAAAAAAAACACGTACATGCTATGCCATCACAAAACAACAGCAACAAYACCAACGTCACTTTTTCCAAGTGCTTTACAGACAAGTATTCAAGTATCAGTTTCGAGTTTTCACGAAGCCATTAATAAAGCCAAGCAACGTCATGACTTTAGTATATTTGGTTTGTTTGACAGGCCGTTATTCTAAAGGAGCTGTCAGTCATCAGGGACCACGCTGGTAAAGCATGCTTAAGGGAACTTCACAAGTCAAACACCCCATTAATCATGGCCCTTTGTGGGTCTAAAGGTAAGGGTATATTTGACACCCCATTAGATATGGTCTTTTAGGGGTGTAGGTGAAGCATACTTTAGGGAACTACACAAGTCAAACACTCCATCAATTATGGCCCTTTGTGGGTATAAAGGATATTTTTGACACCCAATAGGAAATGGTCCTTTTAGGGTCTAAAGATATGAGTATGCGTGACACCTAATTAATTAATACTCAGAATGTGGTCCTTTGCGGAACATCAGGTAAGAATATATTCGATGCCCAGCAGGATATGATCCTTTGTGATTTAAAGATCAGGCTATCTAAAGATGTCTATCAGTTTTCATTTTTTAATGTTTTTTTATCCAAATAATTCTGTTTCTAACTGACTTGTTGTTCTTCGTTTTAGGGTCCTTCATCAACATATCCCAGATGATCGCATGTGTAGGCCAACAAGCTATCTCAGGCAAAAGAATCCCAGACGGGTTTGAGGACCGTTCCCTACCACACTTTAAACGACACTGTACGTTTATGATTTTTATCCTGTATTTATTATTCTTGGACTGATCGGTGACGTCATAGCCGCCGTGTTGGATGACTTCCTTGGTCTCTTTTACCACATCAACCAACATGGCTGCCATGTTCCTTGTCCTTGTACATGTGACGTCGTAGCCGCCATCTTGGACGACTTGACAAAAGATTTGGCCTTGGTCTCTCTTACTTTATCAACCAAGTTTGCGGCTATATCGTTTGTTCTAATGTAAAGGGATACACGCCACCTATAGATAGATAACTGTTTTTCTGTTATTCTTCAGCTAAGATACCCGCTGCTAAAGGATTCGTCAAGAACAGCTTTTTCTCTGGTTTAACGCCAACCGAGTTCTTTTTCCACACGATGGGAGGGAGAGAAGGTACTGTCAGATCAAATCCATTCAGTATAATTTAAAATACTTGTCATTATTCGTCTGAGCGAAGACGACCACGTGGCAGCGCATCGCAAGGGATTGCGGGACATAATTTTTGGCGCGATGATGGCGGAGTATTTTAATGTCGTTCCAAAATTCTTCCCACAATCTTTTACAGCACTTTCCTGCCGTCCTTGGCGGCTAGAAAAGCTCCCCCTAAAACTACCTCTCACTATCCAATATTCTTAGAGAGGTCATTTGGTGTTGTTGTTGTAGGTCTGGTGGATACTGCTGTCAAAACAGCCGAGACGGGCTACATGCAGAGACGACTAGTAAAGGTCAGTCTAAATCTTTTGACTTACTGTACTACCCATAAGTGGTAAGTTAACTATAGAGCTTTTTCACGTGACGTCACAGCGGCCATATTGGTGTTTCAAAACAATACATTTTCTATCCTCAGGGAATTAAACTCTATTTTTATGCAAATACTGTGCAGAAAGTTTCTATTGTTTGGTACACCAATATGGATGTCTTGTCACGTGAGTGAAAATGCTCTATAGTAAAGTTCTTTATAGCGGGCTTCTGATTTTCAAGATCTAAGCTCCATTGAAGGAGGAGGCTTCACGTATAGTATAGCAATTCGTTTGATATGCTTGATTCTAATTTCCTACATCCAAGGCCCGCAGTCTCAAGAAGTCGGGTGTGTGCTTTCTTCTTAACTATAAAACATTAGTGCTAAACCTTAATTGCTTTAATAGATGGATTACACCGCACTCCCTAGAAGACCTGCTTTAGTATTACCCCTAAATACACCTCTTTTGATCAATGTTATTTTAATTTCAAAATAAAAAAATCCGCAGTCCCTAGAAGACCTGTGCACACAGTACGACCACACCGTCCGTAACTCCGTCGGGGATATCGTACAGTTCAAATACGGAGGCGATGGACTGGACCCTACTGACATGGAGGGAAAAGACAAACCATTGGACTTTCAAAGGGTCTTGAATCACATCCAGGTGAGTCTCCATATTGATTTGATGTGAAATATTTCCCAATAGATCTTTGCAATATTTATTTTGGCATTCATATGACAACTTTGGAGAAGCTCCAGGGCAAGATGGCGGTGCTTTGAMGGAACAAAAAGAAAATCGTTATCGGTTTTTCCGAAGAGCGAAGCGTCCCCCTTGAAACCCCACTAGTGGCTATCCCCTGTATCTTAGTTAAACTAGAAATCGCTCTTACTGCGTTGCCCACTACTGTATTGCTGGTTTTCAATCATTCCCAAGAGAATGAAATAACAAAAGACACGGCGGCCATGTTGGAGGATATAACGAAAAAATTCATCGACAATTCTTTTGTTAAATTCAACCAAGATGGCGGCTATGACGTCATGCGCAAACGAAGAATAGAGGATATTACATGGCCGCGCGAAGATACGGATCTTATCTTCGAGTGTTGAGGTGTTGTCTCAAGAAGATAAAATCCGTATCTCCAAGAGGCCATGAAATATTCTGTTTAATATGTAATCATTAAATATGTATTAGGTAAATACTAATTGAAAATGATATTAATGCTAGCGTTTGATTGGTTCACAGTGTAATCACGTGATGCGCACTGAGAATCCCCTCCCACCACAGTCAGTTCTACAACGCGTGAATAAGATAATTGATGGAGAGCAGTTCGTTGACTGTTCTGATGATTTCAAGAATGAAGTAAAGTGAGTATCATTTGGAAAATGCACTTTCTCGACTTCATAATTCATAGAGCCTTATCTGAGATAGCAAACATGGTGCATTGTGGTCTAGCTTGGGTACGATTGTATTTTCCCCCAGAATGCATCAATCTACATAGATCTTTTCTGAGATA